CCACTTGGGAGGGTGTTCCAGTTAAAAGTCCTACTGGGAACTCGGCATTTCCAACTTCCAAGTACAAATGGAATGTGGCATAAATGTGCTTAGCTAGCTATAGTTTAGTTATACAGTGATAACAAAAGCACACTTCTTAAGTGTAAGAGTTAACTTGCATGTACATAGTAATATGTTTGGTGAAAAATCTATTATTGACAACTTTTGCCACATATGAGTTATTGATAATTTACTTTGTGTTTTGCTTGTATACGAGTAATATGTCATCTACTGCATGTGAAGAAATTAATTTATTATTGTTATCATTCATATGTCCTCATGCCTTGTTACCAGCTTCTGAATTACATCAGTCCAGTCAAACAAAGATGTCATAGCCATGACCATTATTGTTCTAAAGATCATGAAAAGAATAATATTTCAGGTTCAGTACAAGTTTAGCTCAATCGACAGCGTTTATGGAATAAAAAATAGTTTGATTCATCCCTCGATTTCTAAAAAAAATCTAAAGTTACAGTGAGACACTTACAATAGACGTGAATAGGGACCAGTTTTGTTGTTTTTAAAGGTGTCCTATTATGCTTTTTCACTTTTTGAATTTTAGTCAACTATTAATTTTGCTGCTCTTTTATCATTTCTCTCATCTCCTCTCCTCTCCTCGTTATATTGTTTTTCTTCTTCATTTGTCTTTACAAGGGCCCCTGTATGGTATTCTTTTCTTTTGCACATGTATAAACTCATGTAAACCACTAAAAAATCCAAAGGGAGCATGTCTTCATGTTCAAGCAAACGCTCCTTTAATGTGTTTAATTCAATGAGAATGAGGTTAGAAGCAGAACATATGTAGACCACTCTGTGTTTTTGATTCAGATGCATGGGGTCTAAACCCTAAACCTTGTGAATTTGGTAACTGTGTGCTTTTGTTTACAATGTAGCTGTTACAAAGAAACGTATTCAAAACAATCAATGAAAAGGGGGAGCAATGCCGTTCAATATGTACTTATTTCTGTGAAATTCACATTAGAAACACATCATATTCTATGCAACAGCTAGAACTGAGCTCATGTCCAAGAATGAACCACTAAAATAATAATCATAAAGATTGCCTATAAACAGTTGTGCTACAATTCCTACATCCAGTCTTGTAATCGCTTACACTGATTTGCAATTTTCTGATCACTTTCTGAAATGTGCTGCAAATGAACTTTGTGAATAAAAGTATGAAATGAGTTAAAGGAAAATTTTCACTTTTGGCTAGCAGCTCGGCTTAAATAATGCATAGTACTTTTTTATCTTTTATTTTAAAATCCTGCATGAATCAGTTTGTTTAATGTCAGATGGATTATGTGCATTCCATTGTTTGATAAGAAACTTGCCTCTAAGTTTATTATTATTTATATTATTATTATTATATAACACTTCTGACATTTACAATACATTTCTCTGAGCCAGTGTTTAAGATATGTGCAAGGATTTTTCAAAATTCTGCTGTTCTT